TTGTGGCCGAAACGTCGTGAGAATTATTTTATTATGTTTTATTTTTATTATTGTATTACTTCCCTTCTACGTGACTTTACCGAAAGAACCAAGAAGATGACACAATTCTGTTGAGCCAATACCACCACACATAGACACACTTATTGTGGGTGTTGTTGTTGTTGTCGTACGTATGATGTTTCTGTTTCGCGTCATCGTTTTAAGATGTTCTCTGTCCATGTTTTTGTTTGTTGCGGTTGCACCCGACCCAAAAAGCCGCATGGCTCACAGGGTCATCTCCATAGATATAAAATACAAATTTGTGAATGTGTGTCTGTTCAAAATGTTTAGCGTACTTCCCGAAATGCAACAAACTGCAAATTTGCCATGCGGGTACTTTCCAGACTGTACACCATGCACAAATTATAACAAGTATAACCCGTAAAAACAAAGTTTTTCACTATAAATCCTTTATATGCGTGGCGGCTAGAGTCCTCTCGTCCTCTGGCTTGAGATGGCTGCCACCTATGGGTCAGATGATTGCATTGCACCATTAAGCAATTGGTAATTAAATATAATATTTTTGTCCTAAAAAGTGTAAAATTTTGGAATTTTTTTCACGAACATTAATTGTCACGCACGACGAGTCTGTGTGCAAAATGTCAGCTCGATTGGATCACGGGAAGTGGGTTAAAAAACGAAAGATTTGCACGGTCCTAAGCAAGCAAGCGAACTTAATATAAAGGATTTAAAAATACACTTTTTTTTGGGGGGGGAGCTCAATAATGCATTTATTTTTTGCACGGCAAGTGAGCTGTGACGTCACATCTGTCACGTGACCCGCGCACGTGGTAACGTCACCATTTGTAGTGTAGTGGGTAGCGCTACGCCGCGCTACGAACCCAGCGACCCGAGGTCAAGTTCAAGTTTAATTTATTAGGTACAAAATTTTCTTGCTGTGGTTCTCCCAAATGATGATGATTGCTTGTGTTGCAATTGAAACGTCATGATTTAATTGATCTTATTTTCTACCCACGTGATTTTACCGAAATAACCAAAGAGTATGGATCCCTGCAGTCACGAAAACTTCAAATCGAGATTATATGGAACTGGAGTTTTTAATGGGACAAAAAAGTATACGGACAACACTACCGCACTGTAAACATGACAACAAATGTAACGTCAACAGCTTCGAAAAGTCAAACATCCTCCCACTTATATTCCTGGTTCTTTCGGTAAAGTCACGTAGAAGGGAAAAAATAAATGATAAAAATATAAAATAATAAATTCTCACGACGTTTCGACTGCAACACAAGCAATCATGGGAAATAATAAAATAATAAAAATATAAAACAAAATTCTCACGACGTTTCGACTACAACACAAGCAATCATCATCGGTAAAGTCACGTAGAAGGGAAATAATAAATAATAAAATATAAAATAATACATTCTCACGACGTTTCGACTGCAACACAAGCAATCATGGGAAATAATAAAATATAAAACAATAAAAACTCTCACGACGTTTCGACTGCAACACAAGCAATCATCGTCGGTAAAGTCATCAAGTAGAAGGGAAACAATAAAATAATAAAAATACAAAACAATAAAAATTCTCACGACGCTTCGACTGCAACACGAGCAATCATCGTCAGGTGTGAAATCCACAGCGAGAAACTTTTGAAAAAAGTGGCGTTTTTAAATCCTTTATATTAAGTTCGCTTGCTTGCGTGCTTGCTTGCTTACGACCGTGCAAATCTTTCGGTCGTTTTTTAACCCACTTCCCGTGATCCAATCGAGCTGACATTTTCCACACAGACTCGTTGTGCGAGACAATTAATGTTCGTGAAAATTTTTTTCCAAAATTTTACACTGTTTATGGAAAACAAATTAAATTTTTAATTACCAATTGTTTAATACTGGCAGACAATCATCTGACCCATAGGTGGCAGCCATCTCAAGCCAGAGGACGAGAGGACTCTAGCCGCCACGCATATAAAGGATTTATAGTGAAAAACTTTGTTTTTACGGGTTATACTTGTTTTCTCAACAAAGATGGCCTCCGTCCATCTGACCAACTGCCAAATCGCTGTCCGTGGTGCTGACGTTAAGAAAAAAAAACGCCACTTTTGAAAAAAAAATTCTCGCTGTGGATTTCACACCTGACGATGATTGCTTGTGTTGCAGTCGAAACGTCGTGAGCATTTTATTGTTTTATATATTTGTATTATTTTATTATTTCCCATGATTGCTTGTGTTGCAGTCGAAACGTCGTGAGAATTTTATTGTTTTATATATTTTTATTATTTTATTATTTCCCATGATTGCTTGTGTTGCAGTCGAAACGTCGTGAGACTTTTATTGTTTTGTATTTTTATTATTTTATTATTTCCCTTCTACGTGCGTGACTTTACCGATGATGATGATTGCTTGTGTTGCAGTCGAAACGTCGTGAGCATTTTATTGTTTTATATATTTGTATTATTTTATTATTTCCCATGATTGCTTGTGTTGCAGTCGAAACGTCGTGAGAATTTTATTGTTTTATATATTTTTATTATTTTATTATTTCCCATGATTGCTTGTGTTGCAGTCGAAACGTCGTGAGACTTTTATTGTTTTGTATTTTTATTATTTTATTATTTCCCTTCTACGTGCGTGACTTTACCGATGATGATGATTGCTTGTGTTGCAGTCGAAACGTCGTGAGCATTTTATTGTTTTAGATATTTTCATCATTTTATCGTTTTCCCTTCTACGTGACTTTACCGAAAGAACCAACAATATGAATCCCTGCAAGTGAAGAAAGCTTTAAATCAAAAGTCTCCCACTTGTTCACCATCACCGTCAACGCTCCACCTAGAAACTTCTCCACGTGGTCTCCAGGACGCGCGGGAGGAAGCGTGCTGCTGCTGTTGTTGCGAATCCTCGGAACAGTGTTCACATTTTTTTGAAGCAACCTGTGGATATTTCGATTGAAGGCTTTCGTGACTGCAGGGTGTCATATTCTTGGTTCTTTCGGGTAAAGTCATCACGTAGAAGGGAAATAATAAAATTATATAAATATAAAACAATAAAAATTCTCACGACGTTTCGACTGCAACACGAGCTATCATGGGAAATAATAAAATAATAAAAATACAAAACAATAAAAATTCTCACGACGTTTCGACTGCAACACGAGCAATTATGGGAAATAATACAATAATAAAAATACAAAACAATACAAATTCTCACGACGTTTCGACTGCAACACAAGCAATCATCGTCGGTAAAGTCATCACGTAGAAGGGAAATAATAAAATAATAAAAAATACAAAACAATAAAAATTCCCACGACGTTTCGACTGCAACACAAGCAATCGTGGGAAATAATAAAATAATAAAAAATACAAAACAAAAATTCTCATGACGTTTCGACTGCAACACGAACAATCATGGGAAATAATAAAATAATAAAAATACTAAATAAAAATTCTCACGACGTTTCGACTGCAACACGAGCAATCATGGGAAATAATAAAATAATAAAAATATAAAAACAATAAAAATTCTCACGACGTTTCGACTGCAACACAAGCAATCATGGGAAATAATAAAATAATAAAAATACTAAATAAAAATTCTCACGACGTTTCGACTGCAACACGAGCAATCATGGGAAATAATAACATAAAAAAAAATACAAAACAATAAAAATTCTCACGACGTTTCGACTGCAACACAAGCAATCATCGTCGGTAAAGTCACGTAGAAGGGAACAAAAAACAATAAATATAAAACAATAATATAATAAAATTCTCACGACGTTTCAGCCACAACGCAAGCAGCCGTCCTCAGGTGAAGAACAGGGCTGTCGAGAAGACAGCGTCTGAATGAAACACCACCAGGCTTGGAGCATCTATTTAATCTGGGTCGGGGGGAGGAGAGTGCCTTGACAAAGGAGTTTACATATCAACAGCGGAATTAAGCATATTGATGCGAACTGCAGATATGGGATTAGTCACTCCTTGTGGAATGTGTAGGTGGTGTGACTAAGTGACTAATCTCATATATCTGCATTTGCCATCAATATGCTTAATTCCGCTGTTGATATGTAAACTCCTTTGTCAAGGCGCTCTACTCCCACCCAGCTTAAATATACGCTGCCAAGCTTAGTGGTGTTCATTCAGACGCTGTCTTTCCGACAGCCCTGTTTCTTCACCAGAGGACGGCTGCTTGCGTTGTGGCCGAAACGCCGTGACAATTTTATTATGTTTAATTTTTATTATTTTATTATTTCCCTTCTACGTGACTTTACCGAAAGAACCAAGAATCTGACACCCTGTGTATATGAACACAAATTCAATGTCGTGATGCGGTGGTCTAGGCGCTGGCCCAATTAACTCGGTCACCGGAGTTCAATTCCCAGTAACCGGCTGGCATCATTGGGCAAACCATATTTGGCTGCAGCTATGAAATTTCCATGCGGCGATGACGACGACGATGATGGTGGAGCCACCACCGCCACGCTGAGCAGTCGATCGCAAGAGCCGGGTCGCTAACCGAGCAAAGGGGCTGGCACGGCAAGCTCGCAAGCTAAAAAAATCGCTTTTCGTTGAACAGCTTCAGAGACCTCCTTTACCAGTGGCAAAATATAGTAGTAGGTTTGTACCCTTGAAACTGGTACAAAAACTGACACCTTTATCCAAGGCATCATGTTTGCAATAACCACAACACAAGCAGTCAAAATGCAAACAAAAAGAAACAACTCTGATAATGGTAAGCACTGTCCTAGAAGTTGATTGGTCCACACTCGAGACAGCTTTTCTTAGAGCCTAGTCTCCATTGGTGTTGGACCAAATGCTTACCCCGAGCTCTCAATACTCTGATAGTGCGCTGTCTTTGAGTTGTGTGCCTTTTGGCGTCACCTGGTCCAACACCAATGGAGATACTAGGCTCTAAGAAAAGCTGTCTCGGGTGTGGACCAATCAACTTCAAGGACAGTGCATATCATCATCAGAGTTGTTTCTTTTTGTTTGCATTTTGACTGCTTGTGTTGTGGCTATTGCAAACATGATGCCTTGGATAAAGGTGTCAGTTTTTGTACCAGTTTCAAGGGTACAAACCTACTACTAGCTTCAGAGAAGCGCCGTCACTACGAGTGGAAGTCTGGCAGCAGCTGTGCCACCTTTTTCCGCATCTCCGCCAGCCGCGTCTCTCGCTCCCTCTCTTGACGCGCCAACGCCGGGAGACGCCGCCAAGCAGCGAGCGCCCGGCTCAAGCGCCGCCTGGAGCACGCGCGACAACACACACACACGACAACACACACACACAAAGATCCCCCGTATAGCCTTAACAGACTGTAGGGGCAAGTGCTGTTAGCGAGCTGCACCTATGAAGGCCGGCACGGCACACGAGGGGGTGGGTGGCCAGCACCACGCCCGACTGCCTTTGTCTCCCCAGTGGCGATGTTTACACACTGCACCAGGTACTCATTTACGGCTGAGTCGACCTTCCGTGTACCAGGCGAGGTAGTCAACATCTCGCCAGATACAGGCGTCGTCAGGGTCGGGATCGGACCCACGACCTCCCGCGCACCGGGCGAGGTAGTTAACATCTCGCCAGATACAGGCGTCGTCACGGTCGGGATCGAACCCACGACCTCCCGCGCACCGGGCGAGGTAGTCAACATCTCGCCAGATACAAGCGTCGTCAGGGTCGGGATCGAACCCACGACCTCCCGCGTACCGGGCGAGGTAGTCAACATCTCACCAGATACAGGCGTCGTCAGGGTCGGGATCGAACCCACGACCTCCCGCGCACCGGGCGAGGTAGTCAACATCTCGCCAGATACAGGCGTCGTCAGGGTCGGGATCGAACCCACGACCTCCCGCATACCGGGCGAGGTAGTCAACATCTCGCCAGATACAGGTGTCGTTAGGGTCGGGATCGAACCCACGACCTCCCGCGTACCGGGCGAGGTAGTCAACATCTCGCCAGATACAAGCGTCGTCAGGGTCGGGATCGAACTCACGACCTCCCGCGTACCGGGCGAGGTAGTCAACATCTCTCCAGATACAGGCGTCGTCAGGGTCGGGATCGAACCCACGACCTCCCGCGTACCGGGCGAGGTAGTCAACATCTCTCCAGATACAGGCGTCGTCAGGGTCGGGATCGAACCCACGACCTCCCGCGTACCGGGCGAGGTGGACGACATCTCTCCTGATACAGGCGTCGTCAGGGTCGGGATCGAACCCACGACCTCCCGCGCACCGGGCGAGGTAGTCAACATCTCGCCAGATACAGGTGTCGTCAGGGTCGGGATCGAACCCACGACCTCCCACGTACCGGGCGAGGTAGTCAACATCTCGCCAGATACAGGCGTCGTCAGGGTCGGGATCGAACCCACGACCTCCTGTGCACCGGGCGAGGTAGTCAACATCTCGCCAGATACAGGCATCGTCAGGGTCGGGATCGAACCCACGACATCCCGTGCACCGGGCGAGGTAGTCAACATCTCGCCAAATACAGGCGTCGTCAGGGTCGGGATCGAACCCACGACATCCCGTGCACCGGGCGAGGTAGTCAACATCTCGCCAGATACAGTTGTCAGGGTCGGGATCGAACCCACGACCTCCCGTGCACCGGGCGAGGTAGTTAACATCTCGCCAAATACAGGCGTCGTCAGGGTCGGGATCGAACCCACGACCTCCCGTGCACCGGGCGAGGTAGTCAACATCTCTCCAGATACAGTTGTCAGGGTCGGGATCGAACCCACGACCTCCCGTGCACCGGGCGAGGTAGTTAACATCTCGCCAAATACAGGCGTCGTCAGGGTCGGGATCGAACCCACGACCTCCCGCGTACCGGGCGAGGTAGTCAACATCTCGCCAGATACAGGCGTCGTCAGGGTCGGGATCGAACCCACGACCTCCCGCGCACCGGGCGAGGTAGTCAACATCTCTCCAGATACAGGTGTCGTCAGGGTCGGGATCGAACCCACAACCTCCCGCGCACCGGGCGAGGTGGTCAACATCTCGCCAGATACAGGCGTCGTCAGGGTCGGGATCGAACCCACGACCTCCCGCGCACCGGGCGAGGTAGTCAACATCTCGCCAGATACAGGCGTCGTCAGGGTCGGGATCGAACCCACGACCTCCCGCGCACCGGGCGAGGTAGTCAACATCTCTCCAGATACAGGCGTCGTCAGGGTCGGGATCGAACCCACGACCTCCCGCGCACCGGGCGAGGTGGTCAACATCTCGCCAGATACAGGCGTCGTCAGGGTCGGGATCGAACCCACGACCTCCCGCGCCCCGGGCAATGAGACACGTGACGTCACCTGTTGGCGTGCTCGATGGCTTCCTCCTCCTTCTCCCACAGCGCCAGCCTCTCCTGCGTGGCTACGCCACGCCAGGCACGGAAGGCCCTCCCCGCGAGTTTCCTGCGGTGCGTCCCGGAAGCCTCCTCCTCCGCATGCCTCACGCTGTCCACGTACTGCGTCAGTCGACGGGGGAGGAGGGAAGGAAGGACCGCACAACAACGACAAATGGGAGTTTTAAGTGTCTCTTTCGCATCATCATCATCACCGTCACCGTCATCACGCGAGGGTGATAGGGGGCGCGGGGGGGGGGGGGTGGTGACTCTTGCCAATAATAAGGGGAGCCACCGTGGCTAAGAGATGTTAACTACCTCGCCTGGTGTGCAGGAGGTTGTGGGTTCGATCCCGACCCTGACGATGCCTGCTGCTGTATATTTGGAGTTTGTGTCTCTCTCTCTCTCTCATCATCACGGTGGCGAGGAGATGTTAACTACCTCGCCTGGTGTGCAGGAGGTCGTGGGTTCGATCCCGACCCTGACGATGCCTGCTGCTGTATATTTGGAGTTTGTGTCTCTCTCTCTCTCTCATCATCACGGTGGCGAGGAGATGTTAACTACCTCGCATGGTATGCAGGAGGTCGTGGGTTTGTTTCCGACCCTGACGATGTCTGCTGTGTATATGGAGTTTGCGTGTCTCTCTCTCATCATCATCATCATCATCACCACGGTGGCTAGGAGATGTTAACTACCTCGCCTGGTATACAGGAAGTCGTGGGTTTGTTTCCGACCCTGATGATGTCTATGTGTGAATCTCCCTCTCTGTGTGTATGTGTTGTGTGTCTCTCTGCTTGTGTGTCTGTCTGTGTGTCTCTCTATGTGTGTCTATGTTGTGTGTCTCTCTCTGTGTCTCTGTGTGAGTCTCTCTCTGTGTGTCTCTCTCTGTGTGTCTCTGTGTTGTCTCTCTCTGTGTGTCTCTGTGTGTCTCTCTCTGTGTGTCTCTGTGTTGTCTCTCTCTGTGTGTCTGTGTGTGAGTCTGTGTGTCTCTGTGTTATCTCTCTCTCTGTGTGTGTGTCTGTCTGTGTGTTTATGTTGTGTGTGTCTCTCTCTCTGTGTGTCTATGTTGTGTGTCTCTCTGTGTGTCTCTGTGTTATCTCTCTCTCTGCGTGTGTGTCTGTCTGTGTGTCTCCGTGTCTGTGTTTTGTCTCTCTCAAATTGAGTTCTACCTGATGACGACAGCTCGTGTTGCAATCGAAACGTCGTGATTTAATTTAGTTTATTTTTCTACCCACGTGACTTTACCGAAAGAACCAAAGAGTATGGATTGCTGCAGTGACGAAAGCTTCAAATCAGCATTGAATATCAATGCGTCGTTAAACCGGCCACAACCCGACCCGGCCAATGACTAAGGCGTTTGTCACGTGACCAAAACGTGCCCAATTCGTTCCCAGTTCAGCACACACCGGCTGCGTGTTGGAGCGTAAACCCACGACGTTTGCAACTCGACCGCCGTGACGTTTCGCCGGTGATTACAACAACAACAAAAACAACAGCCGGCATCATCAGGCGACAGCCAGACGAGTCGTCGTGGACAAATCCTACAAATCTCCGGGCTTGCGATAAATGTGACGTCATCACCTGCTAGCCAATCAGATGCCACGACCAGAGAAGATGATGATGGGGGGGGGGGTGGGTGGGAAGGTAAAGTGTTCCATAAAAACCGCAATGGATGCCCATTACCGCACCGGGTTATCCGTAGTCAACCAACGCGCGCCAACGCGACGCGCGTCACCGTGTCGCGACGCGTCACCATCGCCCCCCGCGTCGTTGTCGATGCACCGCCCGACCCCCGTACCTTCGTCCAGGCGGCGAGCGCCCTCCTCTGCAAGCGACGTGAGCGGAGGCTCGCCGCCCGGCGCTCCCTCTCCCGGACGGCGTCGCGAGCCGCTCCGCTCCACGCCAGGACGCAGGCGCGCAGCGCCGAGAGCCGGTGGTGCAGCTCCGCCGCCTGGGGTGACGTGTGGGGTGGGGGGGAGAGATGGGGGACACGTGGGGGACACGTGGGACACGTGAGGGACACGTGGGACACGTGGGGAACACGTGGGGGACACGTGGGGGACACGTGGGACACGTGGGAACACGTGGGGAACACGTGGGAGACACGCGGGGGACACGTGGGGATACGTGGGGGACACGTGGGGGATACGTGGGGACACGTGGGACACGCGGGGATACGTGGGAGACACGTGGGGACACGTGGGGGAAACGTAGGAGACACATGGAGACACGTGGGGGACACGTGGGATACGTGGGGACACGTGGGGGACACGTGGGACACGTGGGGAACACGTGGGGGACAAGTGGGGGATACGTGGGACACGTGGGGACACGTGGGGGATACGTGGGGGACACGTGGGGGCAAGTGGGGGACACGTGGGATACGTGGGGACACGTGGGGATACGTGGGGGACACGTGGGACACGTGGGAACACGTGGGGAACACGTGGGAGACACGCGGGGGACACGTGGGGATACGTGGGGGACACGGGGACACGTGGGACACGTGGGACACGTGGGGGACACGTGGGGGACACGTGGGACACGTGGGAACACGTGGGGAACACGTGGGAGACACGCGGGGGACACGTGGGGATACGTGGGGGACACGTGGGGGATACGTGGGGACACGTGGGACACGCGGGGATACGTGGGAGACACGTGGGGACACGTGGGGGACACGTAGGAGACACATGGAGACACGTGGGGGACACGTGGGATACGTGGGGACACGTGGGGGACACGTGGGACACGTGGGGAACACGTGGGGGACAAGTGGGGGATACGTGGGACACGTGGGGACACGTGGGGGATACGTGGGGGACACGTGGGGGCAAGTGGGGGACACGTGGGATACGTGGGGACACGTGGGGGATACGTGGGACACGTGGGGGACACGTGGGGACAAGTGGGGGACACGTGGGATACGTGGGACACGTGGGGACACGTGGGGGACACGTGGGGAACACGTGGGGAACACGTGGGGGGACACGTGGGGATACGTGGGGATACGTGGGGGACAAGTGTGGGACACGTGGGGACACGTGGGGAACACGTGGGGGACACGTGGGGAACACGTGGGGGACACGTGGGGACACGTGGGAACATGTGTGGGATACGTGGGGAACACGTGGGGAACACGTGGGGGACACGTGGGGACACGTGGGGACACGTGGGGGACACGTGGGGAACACGTGGGGAACACGTGGGGGACACGTGAAGATACGTGGGGATACGTGGGGGACAAGTGGGGGACACGTGGGAACATGTGTGGGATACGTGGGGGACACGTGGGACACGTGGGGGACACGTGGGGAGACACGTGGGGACACGTGGGGAATACGTGGGGGACACGTGGGGATACGTGGGGATATGTGGGGGACACGTGGGACACGTGGGGGACACGTGGAGAGACACGTGGGACACGTGGGGGACACGTGGGGGACACGTGGGGGACACGTGGGGACACGTGGGGGACACGTGGGGGATACGTGGGGGACACGTGGGGGATACGTGGGGACACGTGGGACACGCGGGGATACGTGGGAGACACGTGGGGACACGTGGGGGATACGTGGGGGACACGTGGGGGCAAGTGGGGGACACGTGGGATACGTGGGGACACGTGGGGGATACGTGGGACACGTGGGGGACACGTGGGAACAAGTGGGGGACACGTGGGATACGTGGGACACGTGGGGACACGTGGGGGACACGTGGGGAACACGTGGGGAACACGTGGGGGGACACGTGGGGATACGTGGGGATACGTGGGGGACAAGTGTGGGACACGTGGGGACACGTGGGGAACACGTGGGGGACACGTGGGGAACACGTGGGGGACACGTGGGGACACGTGGGAACATGTGTGGGATACGTGGGGAACACGTGGGGAACACGTGGGGGACACGTGGGGACACGTGGGGACACGTGGGGGACACGTGGGGAACACGTGGGGAACACGTGGGGGACACGTGGGGATACGTGGGGATACGTGGGGGACAAGTGGGGGACACGTGGGAACATGTGTGGGATACGTGGGGGACACGTGGGACACGTGGGGGACACGTGGGGAGACACGTGGGGACACGTGGGGAATACGTGGGGGACACGTGGGGATACGTGGGGATATGTGGGGGACACGTGGGACACGTGGGGGACACGTGGAGAGACACGTGGGACACGTGGGGGACACGTGGGGGACACGTGGGGACACGTGGGGGACACGTGGGGGATACGTGGGGGACACGTGGGGGATACGTGGGGACACGTGGGACACGCGGGGATACGTGGGAGACACGTGGGGATACGTGGGGGACACGTAGGAGACACATGGAGACACGTGGGGGACACGTGGGATACGTGGGGACACGTGGGACACGTGGGGAACACGTGGGGACACGTGGGGACACGTGGGGACACGTGGGGATACGTGGGGAACACGTGGGACACGTGGGGACACGTGGGGAACACGTGGGGATACGTGGGGGACACGTGGGACACGTGGGGACACGTGGGGAACACGCGTGCAGAAGCAGCAGCAGCAACAAACGAACAGCATCAGCATGCAGCAGCAGCAGCAGCACCCGAATGGCTTCAAGTTCGCGGTTTCGTTTAACGGGTTGAGTACTCGAGAAACAAAACCCAAAGCGTTGGCTAGGAGATGTTAACTACCTCGCCTGGTATACAGGAGGTCGTGGGTTCGATCCCGACCCTGACGACGCCTGCTGCTGTATATTTGTAGTTTGCGTGTCTCTCTCTCTCATCATCATCACGGTGGCTAGGAGATGTTAACTACCTCGCCTGGTGTACAGGAGGTCGTGGGTTCGATCCCGACCCTGACGACGCCTGCTGCTGTATATTTGTAGTTTGCGTGTCTCTCTCTCTCATCATCATCACGGTGGCTAGGAGATGTTAACTACCTCGCCTGGTGTACAGGAGGTCGTGGGTTCGATCCCGACCCTGACGACGCCTGCTGCTGTATATTTGGAGTTTGCGTGTCTCTCTCTCTCATCATCATCACGGTGGCTAGGAGATGTTAACTACCTCGCCTGGTGTACAGGAGGTCGTGGGTTAGACCCTGACGACGCCTGCTGCTGTGTATTTGGAGTTTGCGTGTCTCTCTCATCATCACGGAGGCTAGGAGATGTTAACTACCTCGCCTGGTGTACAGGAGGTCGTGGGTTAGACCCTGACGATGCCTGCTGCTGTATATTTGGAGTTTGCGTGTCTCTCTCATCATCATCATCACGGTGGCTAGGAGATGTTAACTATCTCGCCTGGTGTACAGGAGGTCGTGGGATCGATCCCGACCCTGACGACGCCTGCTGCTGTATATTTGTAGTTTGCGTGTCTCTCTCTCTCATCATCATCACGGTGGCTAGGAGATGTTAACTACCTCGCCTGGTGTACAGGAGGTCGTGGGTTCGATCCCGACCCTGACGACGCCTGCTGCTGTATATTTGTAGTTTGCGTGTCTCTCTCTCTCATCATCATCACGGTGGCTAGGAGATGTTAACTACCTCGCCTGGTGTACAGGAGGTTGTGGGTTCGATCCCGACCCTGACGACGCCTGCTGCTGTGTATTTAGAGTTTGCGTCTCTCTCTCATCATCGTCATCACGGTGGCTAGGAGATGTTAACTACCTCGCCTGGTGTACAGGAGGTCGTGGGTTCGATCCCGACCCTGACGACGCCTGCTGCTGTATATTTGGAGTTTGCGTGTCTCTCTCTCTCATCATCATCACGGTGGCTAGGAGATGTTAACTACCTCGCCTGGTGTACAGGAGGTCGTGGGTTAGACCCTGACGATGCCTGCTGCTGTATATTTGGAGTTTGCGTGTCTCTCTCTCTCATCATCATCACGGTGGCTAGGAGATGTTAACTACCTCGCCTGGTGTACAGGAGGTCGTGGGTTCGATCCCGACCCTGACGACGCCTGCTGCTGTATATTTGGAGTTTGCGTCTCTCTCTCATCATCGTCATCACGGTGGCTAGGAGATGTTAACTACCTCGCCTGGTGTACAGGAGGTCGTGGGTTAGACCCTGACGACGCCTGCTGCTGTGTATTTGGAGTTTGCGTGTCTCTTTCTCTCTCCGTGGTCGCGTGGTTTTTTCTCCGGGTCATCCGGTTTTCCTCTCCACATTTAGTATCAACGTGCGTTCGGATCATTTGCCCACCACCAATGTCCACGTGATGATGATAAGGCCACTTCGTTGAGCTGTCATTTGTGGCCAGTTTAGTTTAGGCTGAGTCGCCCTAGGGGAGGCCCAGGACCAGTTCAGATAATCGCCGGCGTCGGTGTGGTCGGTGTTGGCCGTGAGCGGGAATTTCACTCGGGTCTCTAACCGCAGCAGCACCGCCACTCCCCGCGGACGCACGCACGCACGCACACACGCACGCACGCACGGTGCACACATGCACACACGCACGCACACACACACGCACGGTGCACGCACACACGCACACACGCACGCACACATGCACGGTGCACACACATGCACACACGCACGCACACACGCACGGTGCACAAACACGCACGCACACACACACACGCACACACGCACACGCGGTGCACAATCACGTAGACGCTTGTACCCCCATGGCACACCGCCCGGGAAAGACGAGCGAGAGAGGGAACCAGCGAGCCAGAGAGAGAGAGGAATGTTTCATTTAAAAAGGGGGGGGGGGGGAGGCACATAAAGCAAAGCATTGAAAAAAACAAAAACGAAATGATGAACGAAGCAAAGTGCCGACTACACCGTGCATATTCTTGTCTCCTCTGATCGTAAAAAAGAAAGAAAGAAAGTGAGACAGAGAGAGAACCGGAGAGAGCGAGCGAGCGAGCGAGCGCGAGAGTGAGCGAGCGAGAGGAAGCAAGACAGAGTGAGACAGAGAGTGAGAGACAGAGTGAGACAGAGAGAGAGAGACAGAGCGAGATCGAGAGAGGGAGAGCGAGTGAGACAGAGAGTGAGTGAGACAGCGAGACAGAGTGAGTGAGAGAGTGAGAGAGAGACACAGAGAGAGAGAGCGAGCGAGAGAAAGCGAGAGGGAGCAAGACACAGTGAGACAGAGTGAGTGAGAGAGAGACAAAGCGAGCGAGCGAGAGAGATCGAGTGAGTGAGCGAGCGAGCGAGCGAGCGAGAGAGAGCGAGAGAGATCGAGTGAGTGAGCGAGCGAGCGAGCGAGAGAGAGCGAGAGAGATCGAGTGAGACAGAGAGTGAGTGAGTGAGAGAGACAGACAGAGTGAGACAGAGAGTGAGTGAGAGAGCGAGCGAGCGAGTGAGACAGAGAGTAAGCGAGCGAGTAAGCGAGCGAGCGAGCGACAGAGCGAGCGTTCACGGCCGTGCCAAACGCGCCGGGCACCGAGGTGTCTGCGATTCGAGCGCATGCCCTGATGCCCTGCCTAGCGCACACCCTGCCTGCAACGCTTCCACTCCACAGCACCCCCCCCCCTTCCAGCCCCCCCCCCCCCTCTGCACGCCATCCAATCTTCTCCACGTAATCCCCGACACAGCGGAGCTGCGGACAAACGGAGAACGTCCGTCCGGTGCGACAGGGGGATTTGTGCGCGGCCTCGTGCGTGTCCGACATTCAGCCGTTTAAAGCGCTAAGCCACGATCCTACACCCCATCCCTTCCCCCCCCCCCCGCCCCCGGTACATCCCTTCAACTCGTACAAGTTGCCTGCGTGTCAGCGCCCCAGGTTGTTGTTGTTGTTGTTGTCGGTTTACTCCTCCTCCTGCTTTATACAGGGCGCTTCGAAAAAACGTCAACACTTCATATGGGACTATCGTTTTTTTTCACGCATGATAATCAACTGCAAACATGGTGACAAATGTTTTTTTTAATTAAATTAGAAGATTTCGATTTTGCGTGTCTCTCTCTCATCATCATCACGGTGACTAGGAGATGTTGACTACCTCGCCTGGTATTCAGGAGGTCGTGGGTTCGATCCCGACCCTGATGCCTGCTGCTGTATATTTGGAGTTTGCGTGTCTCTCTCTCTCATCATCGTCAAGTTGGCTAGGAGATGTTGACTACCTCGCCTGGTATTCAGGAGGTCGTGGGTTCGATCCCGATCCTGATGCCTGCTGCTGTATATTTGGAGTTTGCGTGTCTCTCTCTCATAATCATAACAGTGGCTAGGAGATGTTAACTACCTCGCCTGGTGTACAGGAGGTCGTGGGTTCGATCCCGACCCTGACGCCTGCTGCTGTATATTTGGAGTTTGCGTGTCTCTCTCTCATCATCATAACGGTGGCTAGGAGATGTTGACTACCTCGCCTGGTATTCAGGAGGTCGTGGGTTCGATCCCGACCCTGACGCCTGCTGTTGTATATTTGGAGTTTCTGTGTCTCTCTCTCTCTCAGCCGCCACCCCCTGATCGAAAGTGATAGCTCAACGAAGTTGCTCATCGCGTGGGAACGTACAGCGGTCAGATACTTCGAACGGCCAAGGAATCGAAATGCACGTAGATTCTCAATGTGGGGAGGGCTCGTAGGGAAATCCACATGACCACCACGGAGAGAAGAGAGAGAGAGAGAGACACGCAAACTCCAAATATACAGCAGCCGGCGTCAGGGTTTGGGTCGAACCCACGACCTCCTGTATACCAGGCGAGGTAGTTAACATCTCCTAGCCACAGTGATGATGATGAGAGAGAGAGACACGCAAACTCCAAATATACAGCAGCAGGCGTCGTCATGGTCGGGTTCGAACCCACGACTTACCGCACACCAGGCGAGGTAGTCAACATCTCCTGGCCACCGCGGCAGAGGTCGCAACCGGGTACCCGATACCCGTACCCTACCCGATACCCAGCTACCCGTACCCGGCCGGGTACGGGTACGGGTAGCCGTTTGCGACCCTGGTGCGGCCGGGTACGGGTACGGGTAGACCGTGAGTCACTGGTGAGTCACCGTTTGTCACTCATTTCCCAACGTCTTGTCTCTTCTCACAATTCAAGTTCCTAGAATCAACCCACCCGCGCCTGCAACAGGGCTTCATCCCAGAGGTCGCAATCGGGTAGCCGATACCCGTACCCTACCCGTACCCAGCCAGGTACGGGTAGCCGTGAGTCACTGGTGAGTCACCGTTTGTCACTCATTTCCCAACGTCTTGTCTCTTCTCACAATTCAAGTTCCTAGAATCAACCCACCCGTGCCTGCAACATGGCTTCATCCCAGAGGTCGCAATCGGGTACCCAATACCCGTACCCTACCCGTACCCGGCCGGGTACGGGTAGGGTACGGGTACGGCCGGGTACGGGTACCCGTTTGCGACCCTGGTGCGGCCGGGTACGGGTAAGGAATCAAAACCCGTTTGCGACCTCTGGCGCCGCGGCTGTGAGGGGGGGACGGGGGGCAGGTGGGTGGAGCTGTGTGGGGGAGCAGGTGGGCGGAGCTACGTGTGTGTGGGGGGCGGGGCACAGCGTTGGCTCCGCCCACATCTCTCACCCGCCGGCTGTCATGCGCGTGCCGCACCAGCAGCGCCAGCGGGCGCAGGCCGAACCGCAGCAGCAGGCGGCGGCGGCGGTGGCCGTCGGCGGCCTCCTCCAAGCGGCTCCTGCGCTCCGTCCGGCGGGCCTGCTCCTCCGCCCTCTGCGGGAGGATCGGAATCGGGACGTCGATTTAAATTTTACCAGATGACGCCATGTGAGACTAGGCTCTAAGGAAAGCTGTCTCGGGTGTGGACCAATCAACTTCAAGGACAGTGCATACATTATCGGAGTTGTGTTTTTTGTTTGCATTATGACTGCAGGTATTGTGGTCTATGCAAACATGACTCCTTTTAAAAAAGGTGTCCGTTTTGTTGCCAGATAAAAGGGTAAAAAAACAATTATCATATTTTTTCTTCTGGCAAATGAGGTACCAACGGTGATGAGCCTGATAAAAAAAATTAAAATAAAAGTTTATCTGACCCGAAACGTTCATTATGAATTAAATATCACTTTGACCATCACGTACTGTGTGTGAGCCAGAGCACACTCGACGAAAGGATCTCGGATGTAGTTCTGTTATATCCACTTCCGTGGGTTGATCTCCAACAGGAAGTGCTGCTCTCTACTGAGTGTCGACCAGCGGTCACTCAAGGAATAGAACTCAGATGTAGCTCTGTTATATCCACTTCCGTGGGTCGATCTCCAACAGGAAGTGATGCCCCCTACTGTGTGTCGACCAGCGGTCACTCAAGGAATAGAACTCAGATGTAGCTCTGTTATATCCGCTTCAGTGGGTTGATCTCCAACAGGAAATGCTGCCCCTCTACTGTGTGTGGATCAGCGGTCACTCAAGAAAGAGAACTCAGATGTAACTCTGTGATATCCACTTCTGTGGGTTGATCTCTAACAGGAAGTGCTGCTCTCTACTGAGTGTCGACCAGCGGTCACTTAAGAAAGAGAACTCAGATGTAGCTCTGTTATATCCACTTCTGTGGGTTGATCTCTAACAGGAAGTGCTGCTCTCTACTGAGTGTGGGTCAGAGGTCACTTAAGAAAGAGAACTCAGATGTAGCTCTGTTATATCCACTTCCGTGGGTTGATCTCCAACAGGAAGTGCTGCTCTCTACTGAGTGTCGACCAGCGGTCACTCAAAGAAGAGAACTCAGATGTAGCTCTGTTATATCCACTTCAGTGGGTTGATCTCTAACAGGAAGTGCTGCTCTCTACTGAGTGTAGATCAGAGGTCACTTAAGGAAGATAACTCAGATGTAGCTCTGTTATATCCACTTCCGTGGGTCGATCTCCAACAGGAAGTGCTGCTCTCTACTGAGTGTAGATCAGAGGTCACTTAAGGAAGATAACTCAGATGTAGCTCTGTTATATCCACTTCCGTGGGTCGATCTCCAACAGGAAGTGCTGCTCTCTACTGTGTGTGGACCAGCGGTCACTTAAGAAAGAGAACTCAGATGTAGCTCTGTTATATCCGCTTCTGTGGGTTGATCTCCAACAGGAAGTGCTGCTCTCTACTGTGTGTCGACCAGAGGTCACTCAAGAAAGAGAACTCAGATGTAGCTCTGTTATATCCGCTTCTGTGGGTTGATCTCCAACAGGAAGTGCTGCTCTCTACTGTGTGTCGACCAGCGGTCACTCAAGAAAGAGAACTCAGATGTAGCTCTGTTATATCCACTTCTGTGGGTTGATCTCTAACAGGAAGTGCTGCTCTCTACTGAGTGTGGGTCAGAGGTCACTTAAGGAAGAGAACTCAGATGTAGCTCTGTTATATCCACTTCTGTGGGTTGATCTCTAACAGGAAGTGCTGCTCTCTACTGAGTGTGGGTCAGAGGTCACTTAAGGAAGAGAACTCAGATGTAGCTCTGTTATATCCACTTCCGTGGGTTGATCTCTAACAGGAAGTGCTGCTCTCTACTGAGTGTAGATCAGAGGTCACTGAAGGAAGAGAACTCAGATGTAGCTCTGTTATATCCACTTCCGTGGGTTGATCTCCAACAGGAAGTGCTGCTCTCTACTGAGTGTAGATCAGAGGTCACTTAAGGAAGAGAACTCAGATGTAGCTCTGTTATATCCACTTCCGTGGGTTGATCTCTAACAGGAAGTGCTGCTCTCTACTGAGTGTAGATCAGAGGTCACTTAAGGAAGAGAACTCAGATGTAGCTCTGTTATATCCACTTCAATGGGTTGATCTCCAACAGGAAATGCTGCCCCCTACCGTGTGTCGACCAGCGGTTACTCAAAGAAGAATGGACCTCAGAGGTAGCTCTGTCACATCCACTTCCGCAGGGTTTCCGTTCTCCGACACGAAGGGTCCCGCCGTTCCGCCAGATTCTTGGTCCCGTGACGCGATGCGATAGCGCTATCCGCATGACATTGCCTAAATTTATTTACGTAATATGTGTATATTTTAAACGGCAATTGTCCGCAAGCGTCTGCGAGCTGAGATAAGCCGCCGGGCGTGCGGGGGATGACCTCACCAGCTTCTGCAATCGCCTCTCCTCCTTCCGTCTCTCCGCCTCTGCCCGTCTCTCAGACTCCTCTCTCCGCTGTTTCTCCTCTTCCAGCGCCCGCATTTGCATCTGCGCCCGAGGAACACAAAGACAAAGAACCCCCGGATAGCCTCGGCATGCTGTTGGGGGCAAGAGCCGTTGGTTTGCGAGCAGCACCTACGAAGGCCGGCACGGCGGCGACTTTGTCTTCCCCGCTGGCGATGATTTCCTACACACCGTGCCGGGTAGTCATTCGCGGCCGAGTCGACCTAGGGGAGGCCCGGGACCGGTTCCAGATAATCGTCACGGGGTGTTGGTGGGGGGTGCGTGCGTGAGCGGGAATCGAACTCGGGTCGCCGCGAACACGCAGACAGACAAAGACAAAGATCCCCCGAGTAGCCTTAACAGACTATATTCTAAGGTTTTTAGGTAAAGTCACGTAGGTAAAAAATTAAAATTAATAAAATAAAATAAAAATCACGACGTTTCGGAGGCAACACAAGCTTCCGTCTTCAGGTGGAATTTTTTTCCCTACGTGACTTTACCGAAAAACCTAAAGAATATGAATCCTTAACAGACTGTTGGGGCAAGTGCTGTTAGCAAGCAGCACCTAACCCTAACTAAATTTGAGAGAGAGACAAAACACAGACACGGAGACACACAGACAGACACACACGCAGACAGAGACACACAGAGACACACAGAGAGAGACACACAACATAGACACACAGACAGACACACAAGCAGAGAGAGACACAGAGAGAGACACACAGAAACACACAACATAGACACACACAATCAGATAGAGACAAACACTGAGACAGACACACACAGAGACACACAGAGAGAGAGAGACAAACACACAGATAGAGACACGCAGAGACAGACACACAAATAGAGACACACAAAGAGAAAGACACACACAACATAGACACACACAAGCAGAGAGAGACACAGAGAGAGACACACAGAAACACACAACATAGACACACACAATCAGATAGAGACAAACACTGAGACAGACACACACAGAGACACACAGAGAGAGAGAGACAAACACACAGATAGAGACACGCAGAGACAGACACACAAATAGAGACACACAAAGAGAAAGACACACACAACATAGACACACACAAGCAGAGAGAGACACAGAGAGAGACACACAGAAACACACAACATAGACACACACAATCAGATAGAGACAAACACTGAGACAGACACACACAGAGACACACAGAGAGAGAGAGACAAACACACAGATAGAGACACGCAGAGACAGACACACAAATAGAGACACACACAGAGAGAGACACACACAACATAGACACACACAAGCAGAGAGAGACAAACACAGAGACACACAGAGAGAGATAAAGATCCCCCGTGTAGCCTGAATAGACTGGAGGGGCAAGTGCTGTTAGCGAGCACCTATGAAGGCCCGCACGGACACACGAGGGGGTGGGTGGCCAGCACCACGCCCGGCCGCCTTTGTCTCCCCAAGTCACGATGTCGACATCGGGGGAGTTCCCACCAAGACCGCAAGCGGAAATCAATCTTGGCGCTACCGCCGGAGAGACACACAAGTGCAGCCTTAAATTTCGATTTAAAGCTTTCGTGACGCTGTCTCCCCGACAGACCTGGTCTTCACCTGAGGACGGCTGCTTGCGTTGTGGCCGAAACGTCGTGAGAATTGTATTTTATTATGTTTTATTTTTATTATTTTATTATTTCCCTTCTACGTGACTTTACCGAAAGAACCAAGAAGATGAATCCCTGCAGTCACGAAAGCTTTAAATCGAAATTGTATTGTTTTATTTTTATAATTTTATTATTTGTATTATTTCAAAATTACAATTTTTTATAATTTTATAATTTTTATTATTATTATTTTTTATATTTATATTTATTATTTTACCATGTTTTAGTTTTATTATTTTATTATGTTTTGTTTTTATTATTTTTGTTATTTTATTATTTTATTTTCATTATTTTACTACTTCCATCCTACGTGACGACTTTACCGAAAGAACCAAGAAGATGAAGAGCAGCCTTGCCGGCCGCGATAAGACGGGAAGTCAGCGCAGAACCCCCCCCCCGCCCCCCCCCCCCCCTCGGCCGATTTGTCTCCCAACTCCGTCACCAATTGGCCTGTGCGGGGGGCAGTCGAGTTTAGAATGCAAACAACGTGGCCGCAGGTGCGGCCGTGATAAGACGCGCTGCCCATCGTTGAAAATTGTACATCTTGCGCGCGTGATACAAATGGTGTGCCTTTACTCCCAAGACGTGCCCTCGTTGCTAATCTTGGTTTATGTGTTTCTCTCTATCCCCCCCCCCCTCGCCTCTCTCTCTCCTCCCTTCTCTCCGAAGACGTAAAATGCCCCCGCGTTTGAGAGCGTTTCGCGCAGCGCAGCGCCGCGCTCGTTCCGTTCGTTGTTCATCCGCGTTTATTTATTAGGGCGCAGCGGTGGCTGTGAGATGTTGACTGCCTCGCCTGGTATGCGGGAGGTCGTGGGTTCGATCCCAACCCTGATGCCTCGATATTTGGAGTTTGCGTGTCTCTCTCTCATCATCACGGTGGCTAGATGTTAACTACCTCGCCTGGCGTGCAGGAGGTCGTGGATTCGATCCCGAACCTGATGCCTAGATGATGATGATAGTGGTGATGGTGGTGATGATGATGTTGATGGTGTAGATGATGGTGATGGTGGTAGCGTTGATGGTGGTGATGTAGATGATGATGATGATGATGGTGGTGATGATGATGATAGTGGTGATGATGATGATAGTGGTGGTGGTAGCGGTGATGGTGGTGATAGTGGTGGTGGTAGCGGTGATGGTGGTGATAGTGGTGGTGGTGGTGATGATGATAGTGGTGATGATGATGATAGTGGTGGTGGTAGCGGTGATGGTGGTGATAATGGTGGTGGTAGCGGTGATGGTGGTGATAGTGGTGGTGGTGGTGATGATGATGATAGTGGTGATGATGATGATAGTGGTGGTGGTAGCGGTGATGGTGGTGATAGTGGTGGTGGTAGCGGTGATGGTGGTGATAGTGGTGGTGGTAGCGGTGATGGTGGTGATAGTGGTGGTGGTAGCGGTGATGGTGGTGATGGTGATGATAGTGGTGGTGATGTAGATGATGATGGTGGTGATGGTAGTGGTGAGAGTGGTGATGTAGATGATGTTGATGATGATGGTGGTGATGGTGATGATAGTGGTGGTGGTGGTGATGATGATGATGATAGTGGTGATGGTAGTGGTGAGAGTGGTGATGTAGATGATGATGATGGTGGTGATGGTGATGATAGTGGTGATGTAGATGATGATGATGGTGGTGATGTAGATGATGATGATGATGATAGTGGTGATGTAGATGATGATGATGATGGTGGTGATGGTAGTGATGATAGTGGTGATGTAGATGATGATGATAGTGGTGGTGGTGGTGGTGATGATGATGATGATAGTGGTGATGTAGATGATGATGATGATGGTGGTGATGTAGATGATGATGATGGTGGTGATGTAGATGATGATGGTGGTGGTGATGATGATGATGGTAGCGGTGAGAGTGGTCACTCCGCCGCGTTGCCACGAACGCGGCCGCCCCGTACGGCGCGAGCGAAACACGCAACGCACGTCACGACAAAACGTGCTCTTACAATCCAATTCCGTTGTTCGCTGCGATCGCAAAATCCCGCGGGGGAATGTCCCGTCAGCTCGCCCCCATGCCGCCAACTCATTCTCATTCCACGACCAGCGCAAGGCGCCCCCCCCCCTCCCCAGCACACACCGGCACACACCGGCACGGCCGTCACCGCCGATTCAGAAGTGGGGGCGGATTTGAGGACACCACGGAGGTCATGGGCAGAAGGGAGGGAGGGGGGGGGGGAGAGGGGGCGAGGAAGGGAGGGGGGGGGGTAGAGGGAGGGGGGGGTAGAGGGAGGGAGGGGAGGGAGGGGAATGAGGGGAGGGAGGGGGGAGAGGGAGGGAGGGGATGGAGGGAGTGGAGGAGGGGAGGGAGGGAGTGGAGGGGGGGAGGGGAGGGAGGGGGGGGGAGAGGGGGCGAGGGAGGGGGGGGTAGAGGGAGGGGGGGTAGAGGGAGGGAGGGGAGGGAGGGGAGGGAGGGGGGGAGAGGGAGTGGAGGAGGGGAGGGAGGGAGTGGAGGGGGGAGGGGAGGGAGGGGGGGAGAGGGGGCGAGGGAGGGGTGGGGTAGAGGGAGGGAGGGGAGGGAGGGGGGAGAGGGAGGGAGGGGAGGGAGGGAGTGGAGGAGGGGAGGGAGGGAGTGGAGGGGGGGAGGGGAGGGAGGGGGGGGAGGGAGGGAGGGGGGGGAGAGGGGGCGAGGGAGGGAGGGGTAGAGGGAGGGAGGGGAGGGAGTGGAGGGGGGGAGGGGAGGGAGGGGGGGGGGGGGGAGAGGGGGCGAGGGAGGGGGGGGGTAGAGGGAGGGGGGGTAGAGGGAGGGAGGGGAGGGAGGGGAGGGAGGGGAGGGAGGGAGTGGAGGGGGGGAGGGGAGGGAGGGGGGGAGGGGGGGAGGGGAGGGAGGGGAGGGAGGGGGGGAGGGAGGGAGTGGAGGGGGGGAGGGGAGGGAGGGGGGGAGGGGGGGAGGGGGGGAGGGGAGGGAGGGGGGGAGGGGGGGAGGGGAGGGAGGGGAGGGAGGGGGGGAGGGAGGGAGTGGAGGGGGGGAGGGGAGGGAGGGGGGGGGGGGGGGAGGGGAGGGAGGGGAGGGAGGGGGGGAGGGGGTGGAGGGAGTGGAGGGGGGGGAGGGGAGGGAGGGGGGGGGGGGGGGGGGGGAGGGGAGGGAGGGAGGGGGGGAGGGAGGGAGTGGAGGGGGGGAGGGGAGGGAGGGGGGGAGGGGGGGAGGGGAGGGAGGGGAGGGAGGGAAGGAGGAAGGGAGGGAGGGGAGGGAGGGGAGCCGATGGCTGGGATCGAGTTTGAGATGCCATCACTGGCACAACCACCACCACCACCGTCACCATCACAACCACCACCACCGCCGCCACCACTACCGTCAAAACCACAACCACCACCGCCACCACCACAAGCACCAACAACAACAACAACAACCGCCATTCGCCACTAAGTGGCGGCGACGTCACCACGACGCCTGTGCCAGGCTAGGTGCACGTTGAGGCCACGTGAAGTGTCGAGCGCCCGCTGGCAGGAGGTCACGGGGCAGACCCAGCAGGTGCCACGGGTCGACCGACTGAGATGACTGAGATGACCGAGATGACCATCTACCGCGCCACAACCAACACCACAACCACCATCACAACCACCACCACAACCACCACCACAACCAACACCACAACCACCACCACAACCACCACCACAACCCCATCGCCATGGGGCAAGCGCCGTTAGCGAGCACCATCTCCTACGAAGCAGAGGTCGCAAACGGGTTATGATTCCTTACCCGTACCCGGCCGCACCAGGGTCGCAAACGGGTACCCGTATCCGTACCTGGCCGGGTACTCAACGGGACACTCAACGGGACAGGCGACGGGACACGGGTAGGGTACGGGTATCGGGTACCCGGTTGCGACCTCTGCTACGAAGGCCGTCACACAGCGCGATGGGGTGGGTGGCCAGCACCTCGCATCAACACACACACAGCGATACGCACAGGTAACAAGTAAACCCGTAAAAACAAAGTTTTTCACTATAAATCCTTTATATGCGTGGCGGCTCGAGTCCTCTCGTCCTCTGGCTTGAGATGGCTGCCACCTATGGGTCAGATGATTGTCTGCAATATTAAACAATTGGTAATTAAATATTCAATTTGTTTTCCCTAAACAGTGTAAAATTTTGGAATTTTTTTTCACGAAAATTAATTGTCACGCACAACGAGTCTGTGTGCAAAATGTCAGCTCGATTGGATCACGGGAAGTGGGTTAATAAACGACCGAAAGATTTGCACGGTCGTAAGCACGCAAGCAAGCACGCAAGCACGCAAGCAAGCGAACTTAATATAAAGGATTTAAAAAAGACAAAGATCCCCTCCCCACCCACCCCGTGTAGCCTTCGCAGACTGTTGGGCCAAGTTCCGCTAGCGAGCAGCAGCAGCGCCTACGAAGGAAGTCACGGAGCACACGCGGCCGGAGTTCCCAATGTGATGAGCGAGTGGGCGAGTGGGCGAGTAAGTGGGCGAGCGGGTGAGCGAGCGAGTGGGTGGGCGAGTGAGCGAGCGAGCGGGTGAGTGAGGATGTGTTCACGGCCGCGGGTGAGCGTGTTGCGTGCTGCGTGTTGCGTGTTGCGTGTTGCGTGTTGCGGTACCAGGCGCTCGTCCTCCCTCTGCTTCCTCCTCTCCTCCAGCTCCTTCTTGCGACTTGCTCGCGACGCGGCGCGCTCCTCCATGGCTGCCGACGGGACACGTGACGGGACACGCAAGCGGGACACGCAAATAAAGAGACACGCGTAAACGCAACAGGACACGGAGACACAGCGTCCGTGGGTGTGCGGTAATATCAATACTCTGATGATGATGATGATGATGATCGTTGTCGTGAGACATCGCAGTGAGAGGGAGTACGGGGCTGTCCGCTGTGGTGGCCGCGCTATTCATTAGCGGACGGGACCCCGACTCACTCCCCGGTGATCTACGTCCATCGGAAGAGAACATTTTTCATCTTCACATCCCGTAATGTTAGGCCGTGACCTTACGACCTGACCCCCCCCTTCCCCCCCGCACTAACGTCAATGCCGCCCCCCCTACCTCCCCACCAGCCCCCCCCCCCCACCACCTCAACCCCCACCAGCCCCCCCCCACCCCACCTCACTCCACCCACAATCCTTCACCTTGAACCACCCGGTGGGCTGCGGGCGGAGGGTGCCACTTGGCAGGCAGCTCTTCGGATTCGACGGCCCTGCTGCTGTAGATCGCACGGCACAGCAGAGACAAAGATTGTCACCCCCCCCCACCCCCCCCCCACCCCCCCCACCCCCCGGACCGCCCGCGTGGCCTTCAACAGACCGCGGGTTGCAAGCGCTGTTAGCGAGCGGCACACAAAGGCGTGGGTGGCCACCAGAGGTCGCAAACGGGTTTTGATTCCTTACCCGGCTACCCGTACCCGGCCACACCAGGGTCACAAATGGGTACCCGTACCCGTACCCGGCCGGGTACGGGTAGCCGTTCCCTACCCTACCCGTACCCTACCCGAAATGAGTGACAAACGGTTACTCACCAGTGACTCACGGTCTACCCGTACCCTACCTGTACCCGGCCGATGGACGGGTAGGGTACGGGTATCGGGTACCCGATTGCGACCTCTGGGATGAAGCCATGTTGCAGGCGTGGGTGGGTTGATTCTAGGAACTTGAATTGTGAGAAGAGACAAGACGTTGGGAAATGAGTGACAAACGGTGACTCACCAGTGACTCACGGCCTACCCGTACCCAGCCGGGTACGAATAGCCGGGTATCGGGTAGGGTACGGGTATCGGGTACCCGGTTGCGACCTCTAGTGGCCACCACGACCACGCCCGGCCGCCTTTGTCTCCCTTAGCGGGGCGGTGTTTTTGAACCCACCGGGTTACTGATTTGAGGCTGAGTCGACCTAGGCTGGCGGTAGGGGGGGGGGCAGGAGCGGTTTGGATCCAGTATTGTTAGCGAGGGGTGCTTACGAAGGCCGGCACGGCACACTAGGGGGTCGGTGGTCAGCACTACACCCGGCCGTCTTTGTCTTTCCTGGTTCACATAAGCGGAACGGGTTTCGGCCGTGAGCGGGAAACACACTCACTCACACTCTCACTCACTCACTCAATCACCCGTTCACACACTCACCCACTCACTCACACTTCCACTCACACACTCACTCACACTCTCACCCATTCACTCAATCACCCATTCACACACTCACACACTCACTCACACTTCCACTCACACACTCACTCACACTCTCAATCACAAACTCAATCACCCGTTCACACACTCACCCACTCACTCACACTTCCACTCACACACTCACTCACTCACACTCTCACCCATTCACTCAATCACCCATTCACACACTCACACACTCACTCACACTTCCACTCACACACTCACTCACACTCTCACTCACTCAATCACCCGTTCACACACTCACCCACTCACTCACACTTCCACACACACACTCACTCACACTCTCACTCACTCAATCACCCATTCACACATTCACACACTCACTCACACTTCCACTCACACACTCACTCACACTCTCACCCACTCACTCAATCACCCATTCACACACTCACCCACTCACTCACACTTCCACTCACACACTCACTCACACTCTCACCCATTCACTCAATCACCCATTCACACACTCACACACTCACTCACACTTCCACTCAAACACTTACTCACACTCTCACTCACTCACTCAATCACCCGTTCACACACTCACCCACTCACTCACACTTCCACTCACACACTCACACTCACCCACTCAATCACCCATTGACACACTCACACACTCACTCACACTTCCACTCACACACTCACTCACACTCACCCACTCAATCACCCGTTCACACACTCACCCACTCAATCACCCATTCACACACTCACCCACTCACTCACACTTCCACTCACACATTCACACACTGACCCACTCAGTCACACACTCACTCACACTCACACTCACCCATTCAATTACCCATTCACACACTCACCCACTCTCTCACACTCCCACTCACACACCCACCCACCCATTCAATTACCCATTCACACACTCACCCACTCACTCACACACCCACCCACCCATTCAATTACCCATTCACACACTCACCCACTCTCTCACACTCCCACTCACACACCCACCCACCCATTCAATTACCCATTCACACACTCACCCACTCACTCACACTTCCACTCACCCATTCACACACTCACCCACTCAGTCACACACTCACTCACACTTACACTCACCCATTCAATTACCCATTCACACACTCACCCACTCTCTCACACTCTCACTCACACACCCACCCACCCATTCAATTACCCATTCACACACTCACCCACTCACTCACACTTCCACTCACCCATTCACACACTCACCCACTCAGTCACACACTCACTCACACTTACACTCACCCATTCAATTACCCATTCACACACTCACCCACTCTCTCACACTCTCACTCACACACCCACCCACCCATTCAATTACCCATTCACACACTCACCCACTCACTCACACTTCCACTGACCCATTCACACACTCACCCACTCAGTCACACACTCACTCACACTTACACTCACCCACTCAATCACCCATTCACACACTCACCCACTCTCTCACACTCTCACTCACACACCCACCCACCCATTCAATTACCCATTCACACACTCACCCACTCACTCACACTTCCACTCACCCATTCACACACTCACCCACTCACTCACACTTCCACTCACCCATTCACCCACCCACCCACGCATTCACGAAATCCGAGTCTTATTTGTCGATTGCCTTACCCAAGTTTAGGAATTGGTGTACTTATGCAATTTTAACTTATAAACTTCATACATTTTTCAAACATTCATTTTGAGCGATTTGCATTCTTTCGCGCCGTGCGAAGCCAACTTTACCCATCGCTAACCGGCACGGCGATCGTGTTTATGCACCGTTTGCTTGTTGTTGCTGGAACTTTCTGACCCCGGTGGCTCCCGACCGGAGATCGGCGAGACAAAGAGCTTCGTGGCCTGTCGGATTTCTCCAGGAAAAAAAACAGAGCTTCTGATTCTCATTCCGAATGAGCCGGTTAGTTTTTGTTTCGATTTAAAGCTTCTTTCGTGACTGCAGGGATTCATCTTCTTGGTTCTTTCGGTAAAGTCACGTAGAAGGGAAGTATTAAAATAATAAAAAAAAACATAATAAAACAATTCTCACGACGTTTCGGCCACAACGCAAGCAGCCGTCCTCAGGTGAAGAACAGGTCTGTCGATAAGACAGAGTCTAAATGACACGTCTTAGGCTTGGAGTGTCTATTTAAGCTGTGAGGAAGGAGGAAGGGTGGGTTTTTGTTGTTGTCATTGTTTTATCGCCGGTTACTCGGGAAGACTCAGATGCGGTGGGGAGGGCGGGGGGGTGCTTTCTGTGAAACTACCGCACAACCTGCCCAATAGAATCCTCCAGGGTAAATAATGATTCCGATTCTGTTTGGGGAGCTCACTCTGGAGTTCACACCGTCACGGCGGTGGCGCCCGTTCAGCCCGCGCCGTGGGATGGCTAGGAGATGTTAACTACCTCGCCTGGTATACAGGAGGTCGTGGGTTCGATCCCGACCCTGACGCCTGCTGCTGTATATTTGGAGTTTGCGTGTCTCTCTCTCATCATCACCACGGTGGCTAGGAGATGTTAACTACCTCGCCTGGTATGCAGGATGTCGTGGGTTCGATCCCGAACCTGACGCCTGCTGCTGTATATTTGGAGTTTGCGTGTCTCTCTCTCATCATCACCACGGTTGCTAGGAGATGTTAACTACCTCGCCTGGTATACAGGAGGTCGTGGGTTCGATCCCGACCCTGACGCCTGCTGCTGTATATTTGGAGTTTGCGTGTCTCTCTCTCATCATCACCACGGTTGCTAGGAGATGTTAACTACCTCGCCTGGTATGCAGGATGTCGTGGGTTCGATCCCGACCCTGACGCCTGCTGCTGTATATTTGGAGTTTGCGTGTCTCTCTCTCATCATCACCACGGTGGCTAGGA